TTACTTCATAAAAGGCTTTTGCCTTTTCAGAGCTCACCTTAAAAAATACTTATACTGTTAACACAAATATGTATGTCTACTGCCTTTTTCTCAATGCAGAGTACAGTTGTGATGCTAACATGTCTAAAGTTTTATCTCCTTCTTAAAACTTAAAAGTAATTCTTGTAAGCTGAAGAAAGTCCACCTAAATCCACCTCTCAGGTCAACTGGACTCCAGATAAGTACTGCACTTATTGCCTATCTCAAAAGGTGGGATTTCTCCCCTTTCCCTGGTTTTGGGACTTCCTTTCCTGGCTACCAGACTGCTGTTTACTGCATGTAACCACTGGCTAGATTGGTGAGTTCATTCCATTTTCTCAGCATAAACTCCTCTCTTGGTAGGGGAAGCTTGACCACAGAGCTCCGGCAACTTCCTGCTATCTTTTGAGACGGATGGACCCCCCCCCAGCCGTAGCCTTAACTGTCTAGGTTTGACCTTCTATGCTGACCTCCGTTCTAGGGCCTCACTTTCCCTTGGGCAGTATGCCCCCTCTCTATGGTTCCTTCCTCCCCTCGCTCGCTCGCTCATGGGGAGATCCCCTCTCACACACGGATCCTACTCCCCCCCTCTCTCTCATGGGAAGACCTAGCTAGGCAAACCGTCGTGCTTTGGCTGTGCCACTGGGCACCACTCCCCAGTCCCTGGCCAAGAGCTGATGAGCTCTTGGACAGGTAGCACCCCTATTGCCTGGAGTCATACCTTCCCTTGGGACGCCACTGAAAGGTCTTGACTTCTCTGCCCCCAATGGGAGATGCCCAGATGCCCGCGTTCCAGATAGGATATCCTCTGGAGAATTTTAAGTTTCTAACCTAGTGCCAGCTGGCACCAGGGCTTCTAAGTTTACATGCTTCTGTAACCAAACCTCACCTCAATGACAGATCGAAAACAAAGCCTTCTTTAAATATTGCCAGTGATTGGGTAAATAAAGCCCCCTCCCCCCCAGGTAGACAGGGGTTCCCATGTACAAGCTTCATCAATCCAAACCTTTCAATGTATACCTACAGGATTTTCTCTATACTGAACTTTATCTTTTGCCTATATATATGTTTCGGTGTCCTGCCAGACACAGATGTTTCCTATAGCCACAACAGCGCCAAAACAGCTACAGGTGTTCAACTTTGACCTCATGGACTTCCAACAAGCTGCAGGTGTTCAGTTCTGACCTCACATACTTCCAACAAGCTGGACCTGCACCTTCCCTCCCAGCCATGGATGTTCTTGCAGACCCTGGAAAGCATCAAAGCAGCCTATTCTTCCTGGACTTGGCCAACATTTCAGCCTTTTGACCTCCCTACAGCACCCCAGTGTCAGCAGGAAGTAGCCAAAAGAGAATCTACACTCATTATTCACTTGTTGTTAACAAAAGGCTGGAATGGTGTGCTTCAGGACCAGGACAGGCAGCTCCAGGTTCTCCCGGCATTCCCCAGTCCCTACCTGCTGGCTTGCATGGCTGGCAACTCTCTCTGTTGACTACCCTCTACTCTAAATTTTCCAGGGCAGAGGCTTCCCTTACTCTTGACCTTGAAATCTGACCATTTTGTTGCTATAATTCTCTCAACCTCTTGCATGACAACCAAGAGCTGCTTCCAATGAGCCTGAATTTATATACCTTTAACTTACCTTATAAAAAGCAGCCCAAGCTCCCCATTTTTTAATTATAGAAAAAGGGAGGAATGTTAGTATTTTGGAACACAACCTGCTTCTTAGTTACTCAGCGGCCTATAATGTCATCATGTGTCGCCAGCAAGCCAGGTGACCACACCTGGAAGGCATGGTTATCGTGCCCCCTTAAAGGTCTGATACCGACATGTGGTCCTTCTCTTACTCTCTTCTCTCTCTCACTCTATCTTACACTCTTTCTCTTTCTCCCGGGGTGCCCCATCCCCCCTTTCCCTCTCTCCCCACCATGCCCTGCTACCCATTTTCTCCATACCCTTCTAATAAACCTCTCACAGAGAATATCGGTTGTCCCCCTGCATCTTCTTATTTTTAATTTTTAACAGTCATCCCACGGAGCAGCTGAGGGGCTGGTTGGGAGGTTTATCATGAAAGGCCTGCCAGGGGCCAGAGATATGGTCCAGTCAGAGAAGCATTGCTCACAGGTAAGAGGACCATAGTTAGGCTCTGAGCACCCACATTATAAACCAGGCATGGGGCATGAATTTATAATCCATCCCTGGACAAGCAAGAGACAGGCAGAGTCATGGGACTGGATGTCCAGCTACTCTAGACTAATTGGTGAGTTTCAGGCCAAAAAGACCTTAGGTCTTTAAAAACATGTGGACCTCTGTTGATAAATCATGGTCATAACAGTTTTTTGAATTTATTTTCAATTTTGTATTTTAAAATTAGAAATGAATGGACTGTTGTATTGTACATTAATATTTATTATTGATCTATCTTTTAGTAAAGCTGCTGTTAATACTAAAGAGCTGTATACCCAAATCACTACACAGAGACTGGGATTTATTTAATTAACCTAGAGCACAATGCTGGGCAATAGTTACTCCATCATAAACCTCCAAGCCGGCATAGTTCCTACCATTCAGATTTTACCTATTATACTTGCTTTTAAAGGTATCTTAGGTTTGGTTCATTTCTCCATGTCATTCCAAGACCTCTTTTCCAGCCTCTGCTCTCCCAGCTTCTCTCCTGCTGCTTCCCTCCTCCTCTCTCTCCTCAGGCTCCTCTTTCTTCCTTTCCTCCCACTCTGAACCAGGATGTCCCACCCTATCCTCTCCATTGCTCAACATTGGCTGGTTGTTTTAATCAACAAATTGGAGAACAAATGGTGGCATGTTTGCACAAACTTGAGACAGGTGATGCTTAGAATAAGTATCACAATGCAATGTCTGGATTGAAACCAGAGAGTGAAGGAGAGAAATCAGCATTTGAATGAACAAGGGTAAGGTGTATACATTTCAAAGGAACATTACACCAACAGTGGACATAAAATATTGTAAGCCAGTGAAATAGTTCAGTGAAAAAAGGAGCCTGCTGCCAGCCCACTAACATGGGACCCAAATGGTACAAACAGGAAAGGGACTCTGGAAAGAGTGACTTCCTCTCAGGGTCACACACAGAAAACTGATGAGACCATGTTGGTGAGTCCTTAGCTAACAGACCTCCAGGTACCAGGATCTCTCACCAGGGAGGGGAGCTGACAGCACAGTAGTGACTGGTGGCCTCACACCCTGCTTCCCACCCCCTTCCCTGCCTCCTGCCTGGGAATCATGGCTGCAGGATGGTGCTGGGAACATCCGTCCTTGGACAGCTAGAAGAGAACCCCACTTCTGCCATGTGGGATCTGATTTCCTGTCCTTGGATCCCAGGTCATCCTGTCTGTCTGAGGAACTGAGAACCTGTTTGTGCTGTTTTCTGTCTGTTCATGAAGTCAATAACACTTTTAATAAATGTCTTTCTCTCAGATTTCCATCTCACAGTCTCTCATGACCCTTCTCCCACACACACCCCATATGGGACTCTCAGAGAGTGGAAGATTGTATCAGAGACACAAGTCACAGGGAGAAGCAAGGACCATGGTGCACACTGAGATCCACTGCCTGAGAATCCTGCCTCCTCTCTCCCTTACTCCCTGACATTGCCATCTTGTCCACAGCCTCACCCTCCATGCTCCACATCAGGCCACAGGCCATGGCTGCTTGGGTCCCATGTTGGCTTCTTTACTCACTAGTCTAAATAGATGCCCTCACTTCCTTATTTCCTGTCATGTTGATATTCTGGCCTCTGGGCTCTCTCCTAGGACCAGACTTCTGTCCCAAGTCCAGTCTGTCCTAACATTTGATGGTCAGAGGGTCAGCTTCTACCTAAGAGAATGCTGGGACCCAGGACAGCATCCTGACTGCCCCATAAAACTGGAACCAGGCTGCTCTTACAGGCAGAATATGTTCCTGGCCATGCCTGGTAGAGATGACCAATCACAAGGAGGCATAAATGCAGCTCTTATTCCTCCAGCCACAAGACCCAAATGTACCTCAGTCACAGCCCTGGACCAAGTCAGCACCAACCCCATGAGACTCTCTAGAGATTGGAGGGGTCATGGGGGGGTCTCCAAGGCTTCTCCTGGCTAAAGTGAAGTCTCCTGGGGAAGCTGTGAGAGTCTGGACATGTGTAACTGGACCCAGGCCTGTTGAGGAGGAACCCAGCGGCAGCCATGGTCATAGTGGGCCTGACAGCCGAGTGGTCTTTCTCTGAGATCCCTGAAGTGGTCACTCAAGCAGGATGGAACGACCGAGGTGTCTAGTCATCTAAAGAGTCCATTTGTCAGCCTCATGCCACAGGTAGCTGACCACAGAGAAGGGGCCTTAAAGCCGTTGCTCAAATGGTCACGTGACATCCCAGGTTCTTTTCCATTGTCCAATAGGAAAACAGCACAATGGGGCCACAGCAAAGATTTACACAACCAACATTCTCACCAACATGTACGTGCTGAGACCCTGGTCAGACACAGGAAGGGAGACTGGGTCTCTGATCTGCCTCAAGAAAGCATTATGGTCCCACAGGGGAGCAGACATTGGGTTCTAGCCTGGCTACCAGGGTTTGGGTCTGTGTCTCTGGCATGAGCCAGTCAGGAAGAAAGCAAGTAGAGGAAGCCCAGCATGGTGGGACAGGGCTGTAATTTTGATTTATTTTTTATTTTTCCTTTCTTTTTGTCTTTTGATTTTTCAAACAGGGTTTCAATCTTGACAGCCCTGCCTGTTCTGGAACATGCTCTGTAGTCCAAGCTGGCAATCAGATTAAGGAAGGGGAGAACAGGGTGGGAGGAAATTTATAGAGATAAAAATGAGAGATGACAAGCCACACAGGGAATGGGAAAGAGGAGACGAGTCAGAAGGTCAAGGTGGAAGAGAGGAGAGCTCAGCCAAGGTCAAGGCCCTATCTCCACACAGACATGGGGGCTGGGCTCAAGGGCAGCCATCTTGTCTGTGACCACAAGGGTGGCTCTTCTGCAACATGGGAAAAGAAGAAGCCAGATGGTAAAGGAAGTCGCTGGCCACAGGGAGGTGGGGATGGGAGGCTCTGCTCCTCTCCATCCTCCACAGGAGGAGGTCTGAGGATGTGGGTCACTTCACCCTGATTCTCTGGACTACTGAGCACCCCAGTGTCCTCCCTGGGCCTCCTCTCCTGCCTTGTGGCTCTGCTGCTCTCATTTCCTGGAGGGCCTCTGGCCATGGCTTGGCTCCTGCTTCTGCTGTTATCAGCATGTCTGCAAGCTGGTGAGTGTGGGGACCTCACTAGCAGGGACTGAACCACAGGAGGGGACACAGGGCTGGTTGGAGTGGGCTGTCATGTGGACAGGGGTCTGCTAGAGGAGCAGCCAGGCCTCTCTGCCCAAGAGACAGCTCATCTCTCAGAGTGAGCCTGACCCAACCCTCCCCTGTCTGTCCTGTCCCAACAGCCCTAGGGACAGCCCTGCCCTTGTCCCACACCTGCCTGTGATGAAGGCTCAGGAGGCTCTGGGTTGTCCTTTCCATCCCCTGCTTGACCTCAGATTCCCCATCCTTCCCAGGGAACTCAGCAGGATCCAACAGAGACAATATCTATGGGGTGAACCAGCCAGCACGTCTCTCTGGTGTCCAGGGCAGCTCCATCGAGATCCCATTTTCCTTTTCCTTCCCCTGGGAGTTGGCAAAGGATCCTCAGATAAGTATAGCCTGGAGATGGAAGAAGGTCCATGGGGAATTTATCTACAACTCCACCTTAGGTTTCATACATGATCATTTCAAGAACAGGCTCACCCTGAACTGGTCACAGGGTCAGACACATGGAGTCCTCAGAATCCTGGACTTGGAGGAGAAAGACCAGACCATGTACTTCTGCAGAGTTTATCTGCAAACGACAGAAGGCAGGAAGTTTTGGCAGTCGATTGACGGGACCCAACTCACGATCACCGAGGGTGAGGCCCTTGTCTCAGGCCTTGATGCCTGTGGCTTCCTTGTCCCCTACATGTCTCCTCAGGCTCCACAACTCTCAGCTTTGTTTCACATTGCTTTCCCTTGGCTCTGCCCACACCTCTGCCAACAACATCTTTTCCTGGTAGCTGTGAAAGGCCTTTGCTGCCTCCTCTGCCCTTGTCAGTCATTCTCTGCCCAGACAGAACCCCACTCTGCTCTAAGCTTCAGCAGCTGCCCCACCCACCAGCTCAGCCCCTTCCTATTCCAAATCTCACAGTGTTGGTCTGCCCACTTTCACTTTCTGTATGACCACAAAGGAAATTTACTTCTCAAAGACGCCACTGAGTCTGCTAGGCCTGTGTCAGGGCTCCCATTGGTCCCCGTGAAGATCTGCTCAGAGCTCCAACCTCAGCCCAGGACACACAGTAGGTCCCCGTGTGCAGAT